GTGGGAGGTGGTCACACTCCTAGATGGTTCTCTCTGTCTTCCATGTGGATCTCTTACCCCTCTAGACACTAACCATGGAGTAGCATTTGTTTTGTGAGCTCATGGTTGGAGAAAATAATACTACCACTGACTTTTATTAGCATTCATTTGTTATACAAGGAAGATTTCATTGTGACATTTCCATATATGTATACAAGATGTCTTGATCAAACCCTCTCTATTGGTCCTTCTCCTCTACCTTTTTATCCAATGAAATAATGGGATAAATTCTTGTGTGTGTGTGTATTGCAGGGCAAGAGTTTGGACTCATAGCCTGGGCACTGTCCCTTAGCTTTTTTGCTCAAGGCTTTTACTCTACAACTTAAGTCACAATTGTACTTTCAGCTTTTTCCAGGTTAATTGGAGATAAGATGTTGTGATATGCCCAGACTGGCTTTGAATGTGATCGATGCTCAGATCTCAGCCTTCTGAGTAGCTAAGATTACAAACATGAGCCACCAGTTCCAGGCTTCTTTCTTTCCTTCTTTGTCAGTATTGGGGTTTGAACTCATGTTTTCTTGTTTACCTAGCTGGCTGGCTGGCTGGTACTCTACCACTTGAGTCATGATTCCAGTCCTTACTGTTTTTTTGAGCTCTTGGTATATTCTGTATATTAATCTCTCCGTTAAATATTTTTCTTCTATTAGTAGTCTCATTGGTGGTTTTGTTCTATCTTTTCCATGCAGAAGCTTTTAAATCTGATGCATTCCTATTTGTCCAATCTTGCTTTTATTTTCTTGGAGTCCTATTTAGAAAACAAGCTTATGTTTTCCTGCAGTAGTTTCCGTTTCAGATGTTATGCTTAGATCTTTGATCCAGTCAGAGTTGATTATACTGGGTAACAGGTAGGGATCTAGTTTCAGTTTCCTGCATGTAATCAGTCAGTTTTCCCAGGACCATTTGTTGAAAAGGTTGTCTCTTTTCTCCAGTGTACGTTTTTGGCTCCTATGTAAAAAAACAACAACAAACATCTGGGTCATCTGTTTCATTGTTCATTGTCTAAGTGCCAAGGTCTTTCTATGCTGTCTGGCTTGAACTCAGTCTTACCTCAGCCTCTCAGTGCTGGATTGTAGACATGTACCACCACATGTGGCCTGAGTTGTTTGTTGTTTTTTTTTCTAAATTGTGTAAATGTGTGTTTTGGTGGTGCTCCTGGAATTTGAACTCAGGGTCTTGCTAGGAAAACATTCTACTGCTGAACCACACTTCAGCTCCCACTCTGAGTTTGTGTGTGTGTGTGTGTGTGTGTGTGTGTGTGTGTGTGTGTGTG